GAAGAAGAAGAAGAAGAAGAAGAAGAAGAAGAAGAAGAAGAAGAAGAAGAAGAAGAAGAAGAAGAAGAAGAAGAAAGCAACTGGCAAAGTTTCTGTGAATGAATAAAGAAAAGAGAAAAACATCTCAGGTGGATATGTGTGAGACCAACACAGGGGCAATATACCCTGCAGGTTCTTTGGCTGTTGAAACAGTTAAGAATTGGTTCCTGCAAACAGTGATACTTTGACTTCTTTCTTTCCAATTTGTATCCCCTTGATCTCCTTCAATTATTTTATTGCTCTAGCAGGACTTTAAGAACAATGTTGAAGAGATATGGAGAGAGTGGACAGCCTTGCCTTGTCTCTGATTTCAGTAGGAATGATTTAAGTTTCTCTCCGTTCAGTTTGATGTTGACTATAGGCTTGCTGTATATCGCCTTTACTATGTTTAGATATGTGCCTTGTATTCCTGATCTCTCCAATACTTTAAACATGAATGGATGTTGGATTTTGTCAAATGCCTTTTCAGCATCTAAGGAGATGATCATGTGGTTTTTTTTTTTTCTCCGTCAGTTTGTTTATGTGGTGGATCACATTGATGGATTTCCATATATTGAACCACCCCTGCATACCTGGGATGAAGCCTACTTGGTCGCAGTGGATGATATCTTTGATGTGTTCTTGGATTCGGTTTGCAAATGTTTTGTTGAGTATTTTTGCATCAATGTTCATGAGGGAGATTGACCTGAAATTCTCTTTTTTTGCTGGGTATTTGTGAGGTTTAGGTACCAAGGTGACTGTGGCCTCATAGAATGAGTTTGGTAGTGTTCCTTCTGTTTCTATCTTGTGGAATAGTTTGAAGAGTATTGGTGTTAGCTCTTCTTTGAAGGTCTGGTAGAATTCTGCACTGAAACTATCTGGCCATGGGCCTTTTTTGCATGGTAGACTTTTGATAACAGCTTCTATTTCCTTAGGGGATATAGGACTATTTAATTGGTTTACCATTCAACTTTAGCATGTAGAATCGATCAAGAAAATTGTCCATTTCATTTAGATTTTCAAGTTTTGTGGCATATAGACTTTTGAAGTAAGTCCTAATGATTGCTTGGATTTTCTCAGTGTCTGTAGTTATGTCCCCCTTTTCATTTCTGATTTTGTTGATTTGGGTGGTGTCTCTCTGCCTTTTAGTTAGCTTGGCTAAGGGTTTGTCGATCTTGTTGATTTTCTCAAAGAACCAGCTCTTAGTTTCATTGATTCTTTGAATTGTTTTGTTTCTAATTGATTGATTTCTGCCCTGAGTTTGATTATTTCCAGCTGTCTACTCTTCTTTGGTGTCTGCTTCTTTTTTTTCTAGGGCTTTTAAGTGAGCCATTAAGTTGCTTGCATGAGATGTTTCAAATTTCTTCTTGAAGGCACTTAGTGCTATGAACTTTCCTGTTAGCACTGCTTTCATTGTGTCCCATAAGTTTGGGTATGTTGTGCCTTTATTTTCATTGAATTCTAGGAAGTCTTTAATTTCTTTATTTTTTTTCTCTGACCCAGCTGTCATTTAGTAGCAAGTTGTTCGGTTTCCATGTATATGTAGGCCTTTTGCTATTTTTGTCATTGAGGTCCAGCTTTAGTCCATGGTGATCAGATAGGATACAAGGGATTATTTCAATATTCTTATATCTGTTGAGTCTTGCTTTGTGATCAACTATATGGTCTATTTTGGAGAAGGTTCCATGAGGTGCTGAGAAGAAGGTAAATTCTTTTGTGTTTGGGTGAAAGGTTCTGTAGATGTCCATGAGGTGCATGTGATTCATGACCTCTGTCAGAGTTACTGTTTCTTTGTTTAATTTCTGTTTTGTTGACTGGTCCTTTGTTGAGAGTGGGTGTTGAAGTCTCCCAA